GACCAATCAGGGATTCCCTGAACGAAAAGTTGAAGATGAAAATTCTGGCCTTGATTCTAAAGGTTTGAGAGCCTAGTTCTCTGACGTTAGGGTAAGATTCAAGTATCGGTGGCGAAACTTGGTGATTATGACAGAATAAGTTCGATAATCGAGGTTAAAGATGACAAGAATGACCAAACGACTACAGTAGACTCTGGATTATCCGGATTAATTGGTGCCGGACCCGATCCGGATGAAAAAGAAATCCGGATAATAATAGTAAACACAAACACCACCAACCAACACCACAGTATTCTTATTATGTATACATCATGTACATACCAACACGAATTTAAAAGGTTAACGCCAAACTGAACGACTCAATGGTGATTGTGAATGGTAGCCGACAACGATAAATTACAATACAACGATTAAAGCGCGCAGTGCGTGAAGTATTCATGCACTGCATGAATACTTCAAGACTGCATGACATGCAGTCTTGTAGCCGCTAATGTGCGTTTTAGGCTAATTAACCGACTGCACTGCGTTTGGCGTAATGCGAGAAGTATTCCTCCAGCCTTGCAGGCGCCAATATGCCTTGCGACCGCTTCTCCGCGGATCCGCTTACTTATCGGAATGCATACGTAGTTACATGGTTGTAAAATCGATCCGGATAATCCAGAGTCCGGATAATACGATGCCGGATAATCCAGAGTCTACTGTAGTTCTCTAGTCGGGTATGGTTAAATTGGTGACGCTAGCGAGAAGACAGTGCTAAATTCTAACTTTTGCGACTTATCTCAATGTCAATATCAGTATATTTTTTCTGGAGGGAGAATTGAGTAAAATTAATTTGATACATCGCCGCGATGATGATTAAAACAAAAGGATTACAACGGAGGTCACTCGTCCGTCGGACATGAGGCTGGACCGAAATGCGTGATACAACTATTTCAACTCCTGAGCCGCTTAAATTGCATCCATCGAGTTCGAAGGCGAACTTGACTTCTCACTCCAGTTTACAGTCATTTAGACGTTAGCGCGAGGGCGGTGCTAAAACTATAACTTTTGCACCTGATCTCAACGTCAATACCAATGTATTTTTCTGTGGGAAGAATTGAGTAGAAGTTATTGTATAAATCGCCGCGATGATTATTAAAACACAACGATTACAACTAATGTCACTCGTCCGTCGGACATCAAGCTGGACTGAAATGCGTGATACAACTATTTCAACTCCTGAACTGCTCTAATTGCATTCATCGAGTTTGAAGGCGGACTCAATTCCTCTTTCCAGCTTTCAGTCATTCAGACGTTAATGCGAGGGCGTTGCTTAACTCTAACTTATGCCACTTATCTCAATTTAACTGTCAAAAAGTGAGTATCGGTTAGTAGGAAGGTATCCTGTTAATATTCTCGCCGACCAATGATGCCGAAAAAAGAAACTAATTGTACCATTGAATTTAGTATGCTTACAGCTTTACCTTAAACCTCAGTTTTCTTTGAATTAAAAACTGATTGCGGTGGACGAACGAGTCGTATAAACAGTAAGTTGGAATTTTTCAGCCAACGTGCGTTAAAAATAAGCATAAAGCTGAAAATCTCAATACAGTTTCCCTCTGTATTGAGATTTTCAGCTTTACGTTGAATTCTATCGCACGTTGGCTAAAAAAATTCCAACTTACTGTTTCTTTAAATATTAGACCAAGGACCAAAATGCATGAAAACATTTTTATTTACCGCACGAGGGATTACCAAGACGGCAAAATGCAGGATTCACATCATAGACTTTAACGCGGCGCAGAAAAGGAGGCGTATCATCAAACACAAGTTGCTTGACGCATTCCCATAGAGACATTATAAATTAAACATTTGCTTATGTTGAGCCACACTAGAGATTTTTCGATCTTCAGTGGCACACACTTGTTCTTTGCCTGTAATTTTGAATGGCAAAAAATGCGATCTGCAATGAGTAGGTACGACTAGTTATAGCTATGAGTGTGCTGTGCTAGTTGCAGAGGGAAAAGGACTTTTAAATAATATTGGGGAAAACTATGCTAATTACGTAGAATTACATAGAGAGTTGTGTCCGTGGACCAATTTTCAGATATTTAATGGCAGGCATTTGTGTTTTTCTGTAACTTTGATCGGCGAAAAACGCTATTTGCGTTGAATATGACTGGTAATGGCTGCAAATGAGGCATAGTTGCGGGGGAGGGGAGGATTCGTAAGAACTTTTTTTAAGGAAATGTGCTGATCACGCGGAACTATGCTGAAATTTGTGCAATTAGACATATTTTCAGACCTTTAACCTCACGCGTTCATACCCTTCCAGACCTCCTTGATCACCGCGAAAAGGCGATTTCAGCTTAAGTCAATAATCGCATTTCGGAACACCTCAGGGAATCAAAATTATTCGTCGAGCTTTTTCGTGGGCTCAATACACATCCTGAAAAATTTGTTGGACACTAGCCGTTTTTTTTTTAGTGAGCGACATCGTTTTAGAAAATCAACATTTTCTGAGAGCTCGCAATTTTCAGCAAGTTGAATGTATTAAGGGTTTATTTAAAAATATTCTAATCAATTTCGGAACCTTAAAACGTGCTCCAATTGAGCTACATTTTGAGGAAAAGCTATATCAGGTTTATCATTTAGAAAAAGTCCGAGAAATTTATTCATTATTCTGTATTGTGGGATCAAATGTTGCAGTTTTGCACTCAGTTTTACCGGCAAATCAAAGTGCTTCCTCAAAATTTTATTTACATCCCTTGAAGAAAAGCCATCAACCCACTATGTTTATTAAACTGTAAAACGATTGATTCACATCCAAGCACATGACCGACGTTTAATACAATTTACTGAGTACACTAAGTTCTTAATTCCCTTGTCTTGCTCGTGAGCATATATGTTTTTCTTCCTCTCCTTTTTTCCGGGCTAGAGAAAGTTCAAAATGTTCAAGCAACGCCATGGAGCCAATGATTGTCGGTAAGTAATGTTTGCTACTCTAACCACTACCTACACATTTGACACTTCATCAGACGTACAAAACGCCTTCAACTAAGTGACTATGCAACTCGCGCACATTGCAGCCCGATATGTTTCTCGCTGCTTTTTTGAAGGAGATTTCACTACCTCCGGTTGATACCTTGTCGAGTTGTCGCTCTCGCTGTGCATTTTACTGCGTGAAGAATCGGACGTCATTGAGTCGGAGGCAGCTATTTTTGATGAAAGTCTTTGAAAAAAAAAAAAAAAAAAAAAAAAAAAAAAAACCGCGTGTACTTAGTGCTGCAATGGGCTGTGCGTTTTTCCCTTGAAACTCCTTTCATAAATAGAGGTCCTTCTTAATTAAAAATATCAAGTAGTCATTTGACAAAAAAGAATACTCTTCTAGCTTCTGTTCTGATATTTCACGATACTTTCAGATTTTCTATGGGAAGAAGAAGCATACCGATGGCCGATGTCCAAAGCCACGTGTCCCCGTTGCGGTGTTTTAAAATGTCCACTCCTGTATTATTATTTTGAGGAGAAGCATCCCAACCGAACAGCTTGAAATGTAAACAGAATTATTGTGCCAACATGGAAGAAAAATCAAGGAAGTTTTTAAAAAAATTACCTTAACTCGTTTTACGCACAGGAAAATGAAGTATGAATGGTAGTAAGCAAGGTCCCAAACGGAAATACGTGATTTCACACTTTGAGCATCGATTTGTAAATGTCTCAATTGGACTAAATTTTGCAATTAAGAACTATAATCTCTGGCTCAATTGAGAAACAGCTTATGTACGATTGGTTTCCCTATGCAAATATGTTTTTAAAGATGAGCCAGAAATTATAGTTCTGAATTGCAAAATGTAGTCCAATCATCCATGCACAGAGAAAAGTAAACGGAGCGGATAAACACAACTTGACTAGATGGTACTGATGGTTTGTGAGACGAGTGTACCCTAACTCATGCGCATCATGGCTCTCCAAAACCTTCTGGACTTGATATTTTTCTTTTAGTACTGAGCTTGCTATTTATGATTTAAACTTAAGAATTGGATGATACTTAATAAGAGAATCTTGGAATATTTTTTTCAGTATGTCTGTCCTAGTCTTCATGTGCTCCCTGAAATTTCTGCGACTTAAAATCTCTTTCATAACGGCTTGAGCGAAGAGTATTCAATCTGCACAGAAGAGAAGGGGATGGGCAATCCAGGAGTTGTCATGATAAGACAATACTTACAATAAGTATCATATAATTTATACCTTCAACTTGACTTTGCATAGATTACTGATAAAAAGGACGCCAGCAATAAATGATGTACGTCAGATGTCACACTTACTGAGCAAGATCGGTGATCTAACCCACCAACTGAAGGAGGGTTCTGTCTTTTAACACCTTAGTTGCTTACTTTCAGGTTGAAAATCAATTCATGCAGAGAGCTCATATGAGGGTAGTTTGAAAGTGCTTAAATTAAAGCTCTACATAAGTTATAGGATCTTTTTTCGTTTAATCAAATTAATCATCTCAGTGTAATAAAATACAGAGAACTAAAATCAGAATGAAGTTAATTGGGTTGGTTCTATTATTGCTCATGCGGATTTTTCCATAATTACATCATGCAGTTGAATGTTTTTTCCAGGCTCACTCATAGAGGTGCTTTTGCAAGCAATTACTCAGTTGTAGAGCTCTTGTATCAAGTACAGAGTCTATGCCTACACATTTGAAAAATACCTTCATTTTTTCCCCTTCTTTTTTTTGTTTTTAAGCTGCAGTTATCAGAACACATTCATCATTGTTTGAAAATTGTGACATAAAAGTATTTTAGTTTTACTCATTTATGACATTTTTCAGATCAAATAAGAGGGCAAGTATCTAATTTAATTGTGCTGCAGTAGAATTTCACCTTTTTAAAAGAGCTAAAATCCATTCATATCATAAAGGGCATATGGGTTCATTTTAAATTTTATTGCTAGTAACCATTTTTGATAGGTAAGAAAATATTAACCTGTGTAATAAAAATAGAAACCAAAAGAAATTATGTTCAAATATACTTTTATTAACAAATTTTACAACCACCACAATTAAATGGTTCAATTGATCGGTAAAAGTTTTGATTTTTTAAGAAACGAAAAACTCAAAAACACACCTTAGAGTAAATATTTACAGGAGTGGTGTTATGAAATTTAAGCCTTAGTTCGGAATTTTTAACACTCACACTCACTCAAAACTACTGAGAAACACATTTAAGAGACAAAATTATTCATACTAGTGAGAACACAATTGAAAGAGTGAAGAGAAATTTGGAAACTAGTTAACTGAACCCTGAGGGTTTATTTTGGGTACTGAAAGGCAGAAAACTTAGTTAGAGTGACTCTTTTATAAGAGTAAAATAGAATAAACTCAACAAATTCGTTTACAATTCTGGAAGAGATCCTGTAGGAGATTTTGAGAAACACTGTTGCTACATGAAAAAAAACTGAGAAAATCTACCTGTAGCCTTTAGACAAAATAGTTAAACTTTGTTCTTCTGATGATGAACCAAGATTTACGATATTTTCTACCCTTTGACAATTAACAATAGTACATAAAAATCCTAAGGAAGTCATTTTTAAAAATGAATACTTGTTCCTGATGCACTAATTTTGATCAATCAAAATTCATAACAAGAATCAAACTAACTACATAAAGGATTGCCTGATCTCCTCTCTTGTTTTATTTTTTGGACAAAAAAACGAGGCAACATCCTGAAATTTAGGAGTGTATTCTTCATGATATACAGTGAAGCCAGAGGAAGTTCAATAACATTAAAGACGTTAGTTTGCTGAAGAAAGAAAAAAAAAAAAAACACGAAAGAAAATTAGGCATCGTGAAATGCAGTTAGCCTGATTATCCGATTAAGGGTACCGAACACTTGGAGAGTAGGTACACGGGGTTGTGATACAGACTACTTTTGTGACAGATTACTTATACATCCGTAAATAATGACACTAAAAATAATTTGAATGTTTTTACTGATCAGTAGGCAGAATGCAATTCAAAAAACGGAAGGATTATTATTTTTTTATAATTTACACAACAACTTAATTTAAAATTCTATTAAAAGTTGAAACGTCTGTCCAAACATTAGAAACATGTATCACACATAAGCTGATTCAAAAGATTTATGAAGCCAAGAACCCTCAGGAGCCGTTGTAGAAAAAATAACTTTAATACATAAATCCAAAGAAAATTTAGTGATAGTGACAGTTTTTCTGGCAGTTTCCAATAAACTGCAATTACACTTTAGCACTGGATAGGTTTAAAGGCAGGCTTATGGTGAGTACCAGTAGCACAGGGTGAACAAATTAAATATTTACAACATATACAAAAATAGATTTTTCTGTGGAGAATAGGAGCAGTCTTGGTTAAGGCTGACGAGAAGTTATGAATGAATAAAATAAAAGAGAATAGACTTTACTATATGCTGTAACGTGAAATTGCATGGTTGCACAACACTATTACTTTACCTACATTGATGGTTGACAGATTTTGCGAAGAACATTTTTCTAGACAAGAGACTATTTTTGTGATAGATTACTTATAAATCTTTAAATAATTTTACTAAAAATCATGGAGAGAGAGAAAAAAAAATAACTAACTACTGGACAAAGAAAAATGAGTCAAAATGATAAGTACAAAAAGACAGTCCAATACCAAACAAAAGAAAACTGCTGTAAGGACACTCACTTAAACAAATATTTCCTTAATGTTTACTGTTACATTTATAAAATCAGGTTAATCAGTTGTTTACTTATAGCAAATTGATGGCTAGATGCAAAAAATGTGTACTTCAGTATCTGCGTTTAAACATTTCCAATTATTTTTTATTTTCCTGAGGGCAACCAGTCAAACTCTCCCATACAATTTTGAATGCTTTTTTTTAAATGAATGAAAGAAAATCATGAAAAATTTCGATAGAGGCTGTTCTTTGGTTTTCCTTTGAAAAAATGAAATATATGTGGACATTCACATTGTTGAACATCGCAATTGAAGTTGTTTATCATTATGTACCAATTCCCCTATAGTTTCAAATAAAAAAACAGGGTTGAATAAGTGTTTTATCATCTACTCAATCTATTGAGAGAAAGTAAAATTATCATGAGAGGAAGTTTGTAACTTAATAATCGGTATAAAGTCTTCCGAGCCTCAACACGCAATCCAAAGTAAAACATGACTGCTCTAGATTCATTAGAAAGCGGCAAGTACGTGTTAGCTGTCCCATGATCAGCAAAGAACAAAAAATTGCAAAGAGAAAAAACAAACAGGAAGGAAAATGACAAAAATTATGCATTGGGGAGAAAACTTAAAAGAAAGATAAAAATATCTTCATACAACTAAAAGAACTCTGCAATTTTTTTGAAAGCGGTGGGAGATGGGAAAGAGCAGAGAATGGGGGAAAAAAATTTAGGAATATAATACCTCTACACTCATATTAACACTAAGGGTGAATAACCACAAAAAATGACACCCAAATACCTTAACAGAAATTTGTCCTGTAAGTTGGACTACAGCTCTTTTTCTACTACTAATTTTGATGCCTGCATTAGAAGTTCACAGGCCCGGTAGCATTTTGTTTTTGGAGTACAAAAGTATCTTTCTCTGTAGAAATTCACTCATAAATAGTTAAAAACCTGATAAATAGAAAAATATGTAGTTTTTTCTAGGAGTTGTTCATAAATATAAATCAAAATTCCATTTATTCATACGAAGAGATCATGAAAGATAGATAAAGAAAAATCTTAATGAACTATACATGATTTACAAACGAAATTATTAAACGGACATTCTTCATATTAATGATTAATGAATAGAGAATATATAAATGTTTGCCAAGATTTTTGTTTTTGTTTTACGTTTTTGTTTCTAACGACAGCAAAAAAGAAGGTAATTTAGTTTAGAGCTCAAAGAACCAGGTAAGTTACTATCAGTAGGTAGGTATATTTGAGACAAGAACTCTAAATTTTGAAAGGCCGTAATTCTACGACTGATCAGAAAGAACGATCCTTCAAAAAATATAAACTGAGAAGAGACTCATTGCCAACAACTCTTGAAAATTTAAGAAAGCCACTAATTTCGGCAAACATCAGTCACTTTTTGAGTAGCGAGATGCCAAGGAGTACTTTCCTCCAAATATTACAAATCACCTGAATCATCCTGAATGAAGGATTGTATCTAAGTAGCACTGTTTCAGTATCTCTTACTAGTATTTTATTTTTTTAAATAAGAACTGTTGTATGAATTTGCTAGAAACTACTAATGATTTTTCTGCACACTTGTGAAAAAAAACGAAAATTTTCAGACAAATTCGTGAAAAAATCCTGTGAAAAAAAACAAAGTGTTCCTAGAAATACTGAACAGTGTGTGCCAAATACGCTCCTTGGTGCAAGAGATGACAAAATGAACCAGGACTACAAAGTCCTTGAAGAACTGGACTACTTACACGAGAACTCTAAAGGAAAACAAAATTTTGGCTTCTACTTGATTTATCACAGGACTTGGCAGATATTTGTTCCAAAAAATGACCAGGCAGAATGACACAGTTTACACATTTGATATAAGTAGATAAGAGTAACTTTATTGAATCACATAAAAATAATGTATTTAATGTATATCTAAATGTTCAACCAATAAATTCCAAGGGACTTCATAACTATTTCCTGCGGGTTTTGTCAAGTAGAAAAATTCGAGAGATCAGTCAGCCCCTCCCCCCCTTTGGTCAATCTTAAAACTATCATTTGTTTTACTGGAATTGTGGATGCTGACTCACGGTTGGCATGATAAAGAAATTCATTGAAGCAGAGTGTCTAGGCAAGTTCCTTTCATGTGATTTGTTATAAATATTGTACACTTGATTTTACTGCATGAGAATTTTAATAGGATTTGAAAGCCTATAAAATTTTTAAACTTTCATACTGTACAACAACAGTGGAAGTAAATTGTCCCACAGTAAGCAGAAGGGGTGAAGAAATGATATTCACACCCAGCATACTGACATTTTATCTTCATTACTGCAATAAGATGTATTGTTCTGCGGCACATTGGCATACAAATGGTCTACCGGTGTTGAACTCCATCTACGATGATGCTGGGCTGGATCTACTATCAGTGGCAAACCTGCACAGAAAAAACAGAGAGAAGATAAGCTTTCATTCAGTTAACTATGCTGCTTGAGGAGAGGGTAAAAATCAACCCGTACAGTTTTCAATGGAGAGACGCGAGAAACATTTTTTAAGAATAGGAATGTTTAAATATTGTCCCATGCTTAAAGGCGGACTCACAAACCAAAAATTCAAGGCCCTTATTGTGCACCTCCGATTGCAATGAATTTTCCAGGAATAGCCCTTGGGAAAATGAAACATGTTGAACGACCTGTTTCTAGAGCTCGTACTGATGACGTCTTGACTTTCTAAGAATGCTTTTCATTCCGTACATGGTCAACATTATGCAAAAAAGGAACCACTAACTTTGGCTCATTATAGAAACAGCATAAATGCCATTGGTATCCCTATGCAGAGGAGTGCTTTTCCAGAAGAGCCAGAGAGAGTGGTTCTTTATTGCTTCATGTAATCCATACATCAACTAAAAGGCTTAGATGTGACATAAAGGCATGTGAACGAAGAGGTTGTTGCGGCCTTGTGGTCTTGAAAGAATTTGAAAAAAGAACAAAAAAAAAGGGTTCTCAATGCATCTTAATAGTTATTTAAGTTTGCTCAAAAAACGTAGATGGGCAGTACCCATTAGACAGCCCACACACAAAGCAGGATAATTTTTGGCTAATTTTTACTTTTTAAGTCATTACAAGTTTGTAAAAAATGCTCAGTAAATTTTGAGTGAATATTTTGCAACCTTTGAATTGTTAATTTACATTTTGCATTGATGTACAGTTTTCAAAATTCAACACAATTTTGATTTCAACTATTCTTTTCAATTAAAAACCTATATCGACGGTGCAAGTCGGCAATCACATAACTCGGTTTGCGATGTTGTAGACCTCCTGTCATACTTTATTTTTTAAATGGCAAAACTACTCAACAGCAATTCTTTAAAACTGCCATGATTTTTCTTCTCAGTGCGAAGAAAATTCTGCAAAAACTTCAAGAAATAATGTCAATTTGTTCTCCTTTAAGAAAATGACATAGAGGCGGAGATTTTCAGACACCGCAAACGAGTTATGTGATTGCCGACTCTCACCGTCGATATATTAAAAAAATTCCTACTTAAAAATAGAAAGCAAGGATTGCCTATTCTTTTGATCAATTTTAAGAGTCTTATTAAGTTGTTCGATGAACTTTTCTCATTACTAGGGTACAAATTTTCTTCTGTTTTCTTGGCAAAAAACCATCCTTAGTGAAGATGAGCTGAAAATGTAGGTTACTAGAAAAATTATTCTCATGAATCTAGCATTTTCTTACCAATTTCAGGGTAGGCATGGATTTCCGGTAATCTGGATCGGAGGTCATGGCAAAATCCATTCCGGTATTCTGCAGAATTGTTTTCTTGGAAGGAACTCATCGATGAAAACCCACTTTCATCCTCAATAACCGGGGCATTTGTCTTGGTAAAGTGATTAGTTGCGACTGTTTCCAGGATAGGTGTCGAAATGATTTCTGACTCGTCTCCTGTTGTAGTGGAGCATGAAGATCCATCCAAGGATTTGTGGCCTTGCAGTAGCGAGCTACAACTGCCGACCTGTGGGAGAAAAAAATTGACATTGTTAAGACTAACATACTGATAAGATTTCTCAAACATTCCAGAGGGAGAAACAAATACTTTCTCCTGGTATATTTTCTTAGTGAGGAAAGCTAAGAGAATCGAAGGCAACATAAAGAAACGTGGTAAATTACTGTGAGCCAGTCAACAAAGATTGTTAGCCTTAATACGGAGGGGATTTTTAAATAAGACAAGAACAATAAGCCTGTATAAAGCAACTTAGAAAAATATACCTGTAGAGTTGCAGCCTACTACAATCATGCATTCCGGTCAAAAAACACAATTAAAGCACAACAAACCATAAAATATGACCATTTTTTGCTTCGACATACCTATGTTTACAAAATACCTCAATGGTAAAATTGCAAGAGCGGATCGAGTTGTTTTAAAAAGTCTCCTATTTAAAATTTGCACAACGAGAATGAATCAATTCTATTGCTGGTAATTTAGCAGAATATTCTCCAGTAGACAGAAATGAAAAATCAGGGAAGTTTTCAAGAAATAACATGGAGTTTTTTCCCATTTAGAGCATAAATTATGTCATGAAGTCAGCAGCAAACCAAGATAGGTGCACATTTTTGTAGTTTCACTGTCATTAAATCCAGCTTACTAAAGATATTTTACAAAGAGCTATCAAATATTTTTGTGAAATATAGATAGACTTCCTATGGTAAAAGAAAGTTGGACTTACAAATATCCAGAGCGGGTTCGAATTGGCCCTTTCCTGGGCCAATTTTGATCCTTAGTGACACCACACTTTGACATTCATTACACTGTCTCATTCAAAAGGGATCAGATAAGATTAAAGCTTCTAACAATCATTGCACAAAAAATAATTTGAGAGAATCAGCAGAGGTGACTCAATCCCAAATCCATTTTTAAGACCAGCTCTTGTCTCGGATCCTCATCATTTCCAAAATCAAAGAAGTTGGAGTGTGGAAAAAGGTGAAGAAGGGCTAGGTGGTACCTATACCAATAGCTCCTCTCCTTCAACAAGGCCCCTTCAAATTTAACGAGACTAAGTTGTCATCTTTCTTCAGATCCACAATACTTCCAAAAGTATTTGATTATCATGAAATGTGGGGCAGGGAGGACAAGGCGCAGAAAGGTAGATAAAAAATTGAAAATGAAAAAATGAACTAAAAAAAAATGAACTCGACTAAAACTAGTTTGAAAGTGTATTCTGTGAAATATTCACGACTAAAATCCATCGCTAAGCACCAAAAAGAGAGTTTAAACCTCCTTTCTGCCATAGAGCTCCATATAATTTTGAAACTTTAAACACGTATTTCTTGAGATAGCGTAAACTACACTTCTGCACCTTGTTCTCCAAGCCCCTCGAATGAAAAAGAACTTTCAGTGTGGGGAATACCTAAGAGATTTTTGGCCGAATCATGAAATCATCATGATGTAATTGGAGATTGGCTGTGTAGGAGGGGCATGGAAATAAAAAACTATATTTAGGATATATACTCACTGAGTTATTGTCTCGGCGTTCACTGGAATCAGGCAATGTCAAGTCACTACTACAAGGGGTCAACCTCTGGGCTAGGTCAGGTTCTCTTGTGTTGAGCAGAGATTGAATAGTTCGTGAAAGACGAAAAGCTTCTTGTGCAATTTTTTCAGGTGATATATCTTCTGGTGGATGCCTTGGCACTCTCCTATGTAACAAAAATAAAAACTGTTATTTATTGCTGGGTCAAAATAGGAGAATAAAAAAAAAGATAAGAACAGGGCCGGATTAAGGGGGTGGCCACATGGACCGCGGCCCATGGCGGCAAAAATTTGAAATTTTTTAAATGTATGTATAAAAACAAAATTACAAATGAGAAAAGGCGACAAAATCTCTCATTTCCTGAGGGTATAGTAATTTCTAATTTTGTCGTCTCTTAGTGATACAAGAGACAGCACCCTCAATAAGTCGAGTTACGAGAGAAACTAAACACGCAATTTGGCCTAGAACGGCGCGACTTAGAGAGAAATGATAACGAGGACTTGAGATGAAAAGGAGAAACCCTCGGCGCGGCGATCGGCATGTAACACATATTAGCGCCTACAAGACTGCACGAATACTTCACTAATAGCGTCAAACACAGTGCGTTCAGCAGCGGTCGGCGTGAAAGGCATAGCGCCTACAATAGTGTAGGAATACTTCACGCATTGCGCCAAACAAAGTGCGATCAGCACGGCGCAGCGGTGGAAGTTAAAATTATTGAACCACATTTATGATTGTTCTTTCAGGATTTTTTCGTTCATTTCTTATTAATGGAGGGCATTGTCCACACAGAGACAGGTCTACGAAACTGAAATTTCGCGCAAAGTTCCGTGAACTTTTGCTAGTAGTGTTGACAGGGCTTTCCCAAAAAAGGTGTTCAACACGAGTAAATGCGTCTTATGCACCCCTCCCCCGCTGACACGTTCATTTGGACCGCGTTAAACAGAAAGGAACCAAGCCACATCAGCCATTGCCAAATTTAATTGGGCAATTTAATTTTTTACGTGAAAACGGTTGTGCGGATTTTTGTGTAAATTTCAGTGAAAATTTTCCATGGTACGAAGCAAATTCCTTAAAATTTTCAAAGAAATCCGAAAAAACGTTCTCTCGTAAAAAAATTAATTGCCCAGTTAAACTTGGCAATAGCTGATGTGGCTTGGTTCCTTTCTGTTTAACTCGGTCCATTTGATGGTTTTTATGGAGTTTCAAGACGAATGAGAAGGGGGCGGCAAAATGTGGGCGGCCCATGGGCAGCAAGTAGGTGAATCCGGCCCTGGATGGGAAGAATGTATCAAATGTACAATGTCGGTGAAACACATTTGAAAAACATGAATTTTGGATGCCTAATTACGTACATTATCGTTCAGAAATTACTTCGAAAAAAAAAAAAACTACTTCCTGCATTTGAAAAACATGGTGAGTAAAACTCAAACTTTCTAATGTGTAGTGTGTAGGAAAAATGGCGACCCAGGTCAAAATCGTACAAATTAAGCAAATGGTAGGAGAACGGAAGCCACAAAATGTGTCCTTGACTGAGTGAAGGCCAGAATTTTCTCATTCTATGCTTTACTCACGTAAGTAATTAGGTAATACACAGATTATTTTGTTTTACATAGTACTTTTATATTTTACTCCTTATCATGCACCATTTTCTTGGTGCATCTTCTAAGTGCCTACATGACTTCATCCCCTGCGTTCTTTAATGGACAAACCAGCTTCCACTGCTGAACATTGAACAGCTTGAGCACTGTTCAAGCATATCTCCACACAAGGTGAAAACTGTTCTGGCACCTGATTTTATATGATGACACCCTATTATACGATTTTCTGATTTAAGGGTATCATAATCAAATGAAGTGAAATAAGATGAGAAGCTGAGAAAGTAAATATATCTACCGGGTGTCGGCTATCTGAGCAATGCTATTGGCACGTTGTACATTGATGCACATGGAATTATGAGTTGGAGATGGTGATGATGCTCTACTACTACATGAGGTCACTACAGTGTGAACACTTCTTGATCGAGGTACTCTGTGAAAAAAAAACAATAAACTTTATTAACTATAGCTGAATACAGGAAAGAAAGGTTTTTAATTCGAGTAATGAATGATCCTAAAAAAACAATTACTTACTTAAACTGCAGAAAATTAAAATCTCTAAATACAACAGGAATACTACATAGGAGAAAGCTTTTTTATTTTTTAAGTTATTGTCAAAAAATCGATAGGTAACCATGAGATGTCATGCTCAGAGGCAGTAAATAACTTACAGATGAATTAAAGCTTAGGTAGGAAGATGAGTATTTTTATGGTCTGAAAGTCTCTTAAATTGGGAGAAAATTAATTTGGTCTTCTGCTTGATATAGTTTTAATGATGCATCAAATGGGTTAATATTTTGCATACATCTAATGCACACATCGATATAATTGTCCCTCACTTTACTTGGAGATTCTCAGACTAAGGCATACTTTAGGGTACCAAGAAGTATTCATATCCTTCTAACTAGGTAAAACGGAGGTTCTATTTTTCTGAGACTGAAAGCACATTAGTAGAACAAATCCTGATTTTTAGTAAGCACAAAGATTAGTAGGCAGATTTTAATTTTCGAATTCTGTAAACTAAGTATGCCATAGTTACTTTGATAATAAATTGAGAGGCAAAGCTCAAACAACTTTAGGAAAACTATGCAAAACAACACAATATGTAATAAAATGAGGACACACTAGATACTCACCTATTTCTAATTTTGGTCGGGGTGTTCATTTTACATTGGTTTCCGTCAAAAGTCTTATGAACTCGATCAAGGAATTTGGCAACCTGCTCCATGACAGCTCTGTACATTTGCCTATTGGATTCAGTCTGCACATAAGGAAACGAAAACAAATTAGTTTAAAATAATAATCAAACACGAAGGCTAATTTTGCATCAACCAACAGTTTCAAATTCGGTAAATAAATGTACCCTTAAAAATATTTTGGATTCATCAAGTTATGCATTTTATGAGACGTTTAGAGGGGATGAAAAATATCGGAAAAGGTTTACAGTTTTAATTAGAAAGACATCTCCTTTAAGAAAAATCTGAGAAATTATGGTTATGCACGCAAAAACAAGTAAGGTTTAAAACATTCCACGTGCCTTTAAACACATACATTTTTTTTATAATTATTTTTATTTTTTATAGGTGATGATATATCTTCCCTACCCGCAAGGAAGGCGAAGACGTAAAAGACAGCTTTGAGTGGCTCATCTAGCGATCATAAAAAAAAGACCCGTAGACCCCTAGATATAATTCTGACGAAAATTGAAAGCCTCTGAAGTCAGGGGGCATTTTGTGCTGGTAAGCGAGGTTAAATCTTGAGATAATAAAAAACTATAAAAATACACCCCATACATCTCTAGATATGACTCTGACAAAAAATTAGAGCCTTTGAAGTCAGGGGGCGCGAGGGTATATTGCGTTGGGAAGCGAGATTAACTGTAATTGCACTGCCCGGACCTATATGGAGCCTTAGGCTGACTATGGTAAAAATTATTCCGGTACCGGGAATCGAACCCGAGCCTCCTGGGTGAGAGCCAGGTATCCTAGCCACTAGACCATACCGGGTTCGTGAACGGCGGCGCCGATTGAGCGTCATTCCAACCAGACGTCAGTGGTGTCGCGTCATCGCATCACAGCTTGCGTGATGCACCGCTCACACCGGTCCAATCGCGAGCCGCAGCGATGCGATGCATCGTCATCATGATGAGCCGCGAACGATTCAAAATTTGAAAACAAGGTACCACCGCGCACCGCCCGCGCCCCCGTGTCGGCCGTGCTTTCGGAGGTGTTTCAAAATATTATCGACCTCCGTAAAGAAATTCGAAGGATTTTATGCGCCCTTTCTTAAGATACTACAATTTTGGACTTAAAACTTTTTTTTTTTTTTTTTTTTTTTTTTTTTTTTTACAAAAAACCTAAAGTTGAATTATTTGGGGCACATACGTAGAGAGACAGTTTCAAGATATTTTAATCGGCACCAGGACGGTTCAGATCAAATAAACGGTTCCAATAATACGGGTAGTTGAAGGGGCTACAACCTCCGTTATTTTACTCGAACTTTAAGGTGATGGGTGATTCGATGGACGCCACGTTTTGCGTCAAAACGACATGCGATACATCGCAACGATTTGTTCCATTTTTTTCAGCTACTCGTCATTTTTCTCGAATTTTGAGATTGCAATTCTGTTGTTAGGGGAAAAATTCACTTACCAATTTTCACAAACACATTCAACATACTACGGGCGTGGTTTTTTTAGAGAAAAAATATCGCATTCGACACTGATATCGAAACTGCACTCGAATGCGACATTTTTCCTCTGAAAAAACCACGCCTTTAATACGTTGAATTTGCAATTGTCAAAATTAATATGTGAATTCTTTAGCCTCCTGGCAACAGAATTGCGATCTCAAAATTCGAGGAAAATGACGAGTAGCTGGAAAAATGGAACGAATCGATGCGGTGTATCACATATGTCGTTTTGACACAAAATATGGCGTTCATCGAATTACCTGAAAGCTCAAGAAAAGTTCAACTGGTGGACGAAAACATTGAAAAATCAAATTTTGGGAATCAGCCGAAGGAAAAGAGTAAGCGTAGACAACAAATTTCATCAAATTCTGAAGAGGTCGGAAAAAATTTTGGTTTGGTTTGGCATTAAGTGACCCGGGACTAGGGCCGGATTAAGGGGGTGGCCACATGGGCCGCGGCCCATGGCGGCAAATCTAGGGGGCGGCTTTGCAATTTTTTTAAATGTAGGTATAAAAAAAATCGGATTTAGAAAGAAGAAAAACATTACAAACGAAAAAAGGCGACAAAATCTCTCATTTCCTGAGAGTATAGTAATTTCTAATTTTGTCGTCTTTCAGTGATACAAGTGACAGCACCTTCAATTAGTCGAGTTAAGAGAGAAACCAAATACGCAATTTCGCCTGGAACGGCGCGACTTGGAGAGAAATGATGACGAGGACTTGAGATGAAAAGAAGATGCCCTCGGCGCGGCGATCGATTGACATGCAACACATATTAGCGCCTATAAGACTGCACGAATACTTCAAGCATTGCATCAAACACAGTGCGGTCACTGCGGTCAGCGTGAAACGGATAGCGCCTGCAAGAATGCATGAATACTTCACGCACTGCGCCAAACACGGTGCGGTCTGCGCGGCGCGACGGAGGTTAAAATCATTAAACCACATTGTGTTTCAGAAAAATCCCCGCTGGCCCAAATTGTGCCAAAAAACGGTCGTTTTTGGCGTCGCTCTTTCACTTACGAATCAGTGCTTAAATCGCGGATTCCTGACACATGCAAGAGCTTCAGTAAATGGACTACATTTTGCAATTAAGAACTATAAATTGCGGCCGGTTTAAAAACAACGTATGTGCCATCAGTTTCCCCATGCACATAAGTGTTTTTTCGAACGAGCCAGAATTTATAGATCCAAATCGCAAAATGCAGTTCAAATCGTCCCCTTCCGATCAAAGTACCACAAGCGCCATGTGACGTTTAAAAATTTCCGCCGCCATTTTATTTGTTTACAGAGAAGTCGTGGTTAAATCTGTTTGAAAATTCCACTGAAATTTCTTCAACCGACAATTTCTCTGTAAAAAATAAAATGGTGGCGAGAATTTTTAAACGTTGCATGGCGCTTGTGATAGTTAGTCCCTTTATACTGAGAGTCAAGACAATGTGCATCCATTTCTGATTGGTTCCCGTATTTTAGGCCTCCACAGTGTCAAAAACGGTAATAAAGATTACATTTTCACCAATTGCAAAGATTATAATCTGGAATGGACTGGGGAATTCGGGTTCGGCAAGGAACGAGTGGAATGAGAGAAGGAACGGAGAAAGGAATTTGACAATGCGCCGATCAAAGATTGCGAAAAACTATCATTCTGTGTAAGCTTTATTCCCAGTTGTGACTCCATGGCGGGGGTTGTCTTAACTCCCACACCGGAAAAAAAAATTGGCTCTAGAGTCCAGACTCTTGAAAACATCGACAAGAAAAAATACTCTTGATTCGATCAGATTTTTGCTTAAATCAAAAGGAAATCCACTCAAATTAAGAGGCTTGGTTCTTGATGTAAGCAAAAATCCGATTGAATCAAGAGTGTTTTTTCTTGCGATGTTTTTAAGAGTCTGAACTCTAGATCCAATGTGTTTTTTTCCAGTGCAGTATAAAGGGACTCTAGTGATACTTTGGCCGGAAAGTGACGAAATATTGAAGGAGGAGATAATGATCAAACCTGTAGTTACAAGCTGGCGTGATTCTGCTGCCGTATCGAGTACTCGATGCGAGCGACGTTGGAATCGAGACAGTTCCAAAACTCGACAGGGATGTACTTCTCGTCGGCCTGGGGACACCACATACGGCGCAGCTTCTCCGTTTCGCACTCGACGTGGTCGCAATCGATGTAGTACGTCTTCGCGCTGTAGTTCACCACCAGGATCGTCGACTCAGAGTCCGCGTGGATTTCCTTCGTCCGCGGGCAGAATCCCAGGGATTTGTACTTGAAGTGGATGCACTTGCCCGAGAAAAAGTAACGCGTCGACTTGATCGTGAAATCGTGGAACAAGTTGGTTACGAACAATTTGAAGTTCCGTTCGTCGGGGTTGATTCGAACCATTCTCGAAGATAAACAGACGCGAACAGCGAACAAAAAAAGTCAGTAGGTAATTAGCAACTTAGATAATAGCAACTTTTGGTTGATTGCACTTGGAAAAACTTGCACGATGCAAGAAGAGATCTTTCAGAAATCAACGAACTTTCGTAGATTAAGTGAATGAGTTATAAGCAAACGCAACTTTTAAAAATTATTTGTCCGACGAATTGTTTTGAGACGCGCAAAACAGCGGATTCACAATTTAGGAGGAGAATAAACACAGTTCGATTTAGGTTAAAATGAGGTAAGAGTGCCTAATTTTGAGGAGCCAAATTAGGTAATGTTGCACATGTGATACGGAAATTCACTTCGAGAATGGGAAAAAGAAAAGAAACCAAAAGTAAACGAAATCTGGCACGATTTTATAGTCACTTCCGCACAAAAAAATAAATGAGACGAAAACCCGGGCAACAAAACTGATTGATTCAATGCGAGATATTACTTAGAATTCCAAACGCACACGCACCAAGTTCTTGAAAAATACTTTCCGCAGTTTTCACAAAAGTTTCCGAAAAGTCACGTGACAAAATGTAAACAACACGAAGAGCAAAACTGAGTTCTTCTCGAGCAAAGGTACTGATTTACAATCAGTAATAACGGTCTAAAATCACTGCGGTGTAGTTCACTGGTAGGTTCAAAACTGATTCAAAATCCGGAAGATAGAAAAATATCACTGAACGAAACGATTAGTCTCCAATTCAAACACGGCCAAAAGTCGAATTCGCACGAGAGATATCACTGCACTCGAGAACGCTAATCGGTGATCGGAACACGTTGACACACCGGAGGCAATGAGGAACTGATTTTAAATCTGATTAGCCAAAGGTCAAGACCAGTGGTCAGCGCTACCCCTACCTGCGGGCAGCAACCACCCTCCGACGGCCGCGTCGGGTGAGGGGAAGGGGTGGAAGTCTGGATATCCCCGGGCGAAGGGGTTGTGCGGCGACGGGGTAAGATGCTCTGGCTCCTGGTCCACTTTGCGTAGGAGGGGAAGAGGGTGGAGAGAAAGGGGTGTATTGTTTCGTATGCGCCGCGTAAATTTGGCGATACTAAGAAGAACGCAGAATGTACGTACTCTGGGCGGTACCATACATTGCTGAGTTGTCAGTTTTTGCTTAAATGCGGATTGCGTTTCGCATTAGCGAATCTAGTTACATCTTGACTTGATCTTGAAATTGAAACTACAATTTTTGGCTTATCCATAATAGCACCTACCCTACCGTGCTACGTAAAAAATGCCGTATGAGTCTACAGAAGTTTCCATTTACTTCAATTAAAAGCGACTTGACTGGGAATATTGCAAATAGTTTTCTTCAAACTTTTCAGACACTTTAAATCGCAACTTAATGGAAAATATCTGAATATTTTAAAGGAAAATATGAACACCTTTCCTCAGAGATACATTTTTGTCGGAGGGAATTTGGCAAACCTCCAATGTCCATACGGCGTTTTTCCTTAGCACGGCAGTACTGACGTACGGTAATGATGATATGGCACATTCTAAAATGAGGAAGATGAGAACGTAATGTTTCGACATTTTTCGTAACAATTATTTCTTTTCTAATGAGAAACAACAAAGTTTGTAGTTCCGTTTCTAGCAGAGCAACATATGTTACAATATGTTTACAACATATGCATCAATATGTTTTCAAAATAACATTTCTCGTTATTTAAAAAAAAAAATCAAAGAACGCAAAAAAAGAAAATACGCGAAAATGAGTTAGGGCGTCTCGACTTTAAATTCATGTTTCCAATTATTGTCTCATTAATTTACCTGTTTAAGTTGCCATTGCAAAGTGTGAATGGAGTCTTCAGATGCCGCTTGTTCGAGTCTTTTGTTTTCTTCCATTAGATTTTGGCACTCCTGCAACAAAATTTATAAAATTCGTTAGTCGAATGATTGTTTGACAAAACGACGCCACTCATACAAAATGTTATCACCAACGCTAACAATTCAAATCTGTATTTATCTGAATAAGCGAATGACGTGATTACTGAAAATCGCCATGTAATAGCAGAGGGGTCAAAAGTTTCAAAGTTGCTGGGCATATGATGCAGGTAACAAACGCGGTGGATTTTAATGGCCGTGCCGCATAAATATGCCGCCTAGCCGAGGTTTTATACCTTTGCGATCTCATAAATCAGGATTTCTTATGGAGTATCGGAGCATAAACCACGGTTGTCAAATTTGCGGAAGGCTCTTCTTTGAAAGCAAAATCGGAAAAAATTGAGCTAACAGTTAGTTTTCCTTTTTTTGGTAACTTAGTAACTGATTCGCTTGTTTCAGAAAGCGCCTATCTCCGAAGAAAACAAACAAAAGACGAAGTTCTAGAGAGTGGAAAAACTGATTTCGGCTGAAATACTCGATGAATAGAAGGTGTTTTCGGCGTACGTTACTCAGTTCTGACCCTAATTTAGTCCCAGTAACAATGTAACGCTGGTATCGGGTCCTAATTATTTGTTCCCATAAAAGTAATATAATAATTACAACAACCAGAAAAGAAGGGGAAACCTGAGCTCCACCATGAGCAATATGAAAACAACGATTCTTTTTTCTTCGTGCTGTTCCCGATCACAGTAAAAACGATTACAGGACACAACCTCGGATCCGGGATGCTTCCTGAATGTTTTTCTCCGATAAAAATGGAGAAATGTGGACGGAAAGTTTGCCAAGCCTGCCGTCCATAGAGCGCCCGAACGCTTCAGAACAACCCGTCCATGATTACCGCGAAAACAAAACGACCACTCGATGTCAATGCACGATACGGCACAACAATACCTGGACAAGTCAACACTACGCGAAGTTGCGTTAAGTGTTGTCAAATATGCGAATAGTCAGAGCTTATCCATACAAATTTTCTGCTGTATACTTGTCATAAAATATGTATTTATTAAGAAAATAGGCAACGTGGCTGCGTTATTAGCGGGGAAACGCCGAATACGCAGCGGCCAGCATCGTTCTAGTACATTAAGCTCTCCTCTTCCGCTTGGATACAAACAAAGCAGGCACTTCCTCCGATTCCTGCGACTTCCAGAAAGAATCGATGACGTCACAGGATCTACGAGCGGAAAAAAAAAATGATAAAAAAGGGAAAACATGGTGCTTGGAAAAGACGCATAGTTGAGAGCTGCACCACTTAAATAAGATATGCTCCTGATCAATGTTGCATTGTTGCAGTGCCTTCATGAGATTTATGATTAATATCTGATGAGTGATGATAGTATACATTTATGATTTATAGTCGTATAAAGTTTAAAAATACCAACACTGACCATTACTTTACGTTGCAAATCAACGGAGCTTTATAGAAATTATCGCTTCAACGCAATGTACGCTCTCTTTCAGGCAAAGGCTGGCGTAAGAGGTATCCAATCTTTAAACACCTTAACCTAAAATTTGGATTGAATCTAGGTTCGAAATACAAAGGTGTACATACATAGTGGGAGGAGGGGGGTGCATCTCCGGACACGGGGCGATTCTCTGTGAAGATCGATTACTTGAATTAAATGCAGAATTATATGTATACAATGTCGCCCAAGAAACTCCTTCAAACACGCAGTTAGGCATCATATGTTACTCAACTGTGGTTGATGCGACGACTCGCTGAAGAACTTTCACACAAGGATTTATTTAAAAGTTCAAAAGTTTTTAGGCATTTGCAGCAAATCTGACAATTTCCCCGCAGATTACAGGAAAATAATCCCGCTCGTGGGTTCCACCAGTAAACCCCGATAACCCAGGTTGAACTTCTTGAATACAACGCCGATCACCGTGAGTCCTCGCACAGATCTATCGAGCTAAGGAAGAACACTGTATGAGCTTTTAGACGTTGCCAAATTTCCTTTGACAAATCAACAATTTTCGAGGATATTTGTAACTATCTTTCTTCCAACTTTTTACAGCGAATTTTGTTCGTAATTAGATCCGAAATTTCTGAAAATTTCAAAAAAAAAATATTCATAGCTTCCTTCAAAACTGAGTATTTTTTGAAAGGAAATTTGGCAACACTCGAAGGCTCATACGGCCTTTTTCCTCAGCAGCACGGTTGCAGTTACTTGTTGCTGTTTCGATTTCGTAATGCGTTTCCGGTTTCATCTCTAATGGTTTTCTGACCCGCCACTCGGCCTAGCACGATAAAGCAAAGTCCCGCTGAGTCAACAAGGCCGGGCTCAGAAATATTACTTACCTCTTGCTTACCTCCCCGCGTGGGCACGGGAGGGAGTTGCGTTTTCGAGGCCCATTTCACCTACGGATTTTAAGGTTCGTGCCTGCAGTTTACGATCTTCTATGATGATCTGACAATGAGATTTACGTTCTGGAGTGGAGGAGAGAACAACGCAGGGCAGTTGGGAGCCGAGCCTCGCAAGACAAGAGACAACGGTTGCATCGTGAATAAGGGAAATACATTTTTCTTGAAATTTTTGGGGGAAAAAAGACAAAAAGTGGGCAGAACTATGATTTTCGAGTAGAAAACATCCGTAATTATTCTGATAATTTCTGTTTATTTCTGATATTAGCATATTACCAGTTGTATTATTATTCCAAATCTATCGGACACTAATCATGAGAAACCGTTGTGCACTAAAAAAGGGCTTCAAGATCATTTTTGGTCCAGCAAAGCCTAATCGGAGACAATTCCTTCAGTTCCTTATGATCGACGTCCGATAGATTTGGAATAATTCAATACAAAATAATGTAATTGATAATTGCTAAAGTTAGAAAAAACCTACATATAGGATGTTTCCTGCTTGATAATCATAGTTATGTTCACTTTTGTTTTCTTATCCCCCAAAAATTTCGAAGTTCTTCTTTCATAATGACTAAGATTCTACAGTTTTAAGATGTCTAAAATGCTCACGATATTAAAGGGAAGGAGTGACAGAAGAAACTTATTCTTCAATACTATTTTACATACAAACATGTGTTTAAACTGTTACTTTAAAAAAGGTTACAAAATACGTTTGGTTTAAATGACCTTGGCATCAAAATCTTTAAATTCACAGATGATTTGGGGACAGAAATGAAGATAAAGAGTGCGAGAAACAACACCAATTACTGTTTAGATAGAAACATTCCTAGCAATGTTAATAAACATTGAATGAAACGCAGGGTATCCGGGTTAGATCAAATTAAACCTACGAAGCGTAAGCTGATATCACAGCCTTTTGTAAGATACCCATTTTTCGATTGTAATTATGAATTTATCTCTTCACGTTAGAATCCACCGCTATATTTAATCTGCTTTCGATACCTTTACTCACCTCCACCACAAAAGCGACGCGGCATTTGGCAAAAGTGAGTTGTACGAAATCAAAAGTGTCACTGACTTCTTCATAATTCATGTCTGATACATATTTTCCGCCGATCCTCTAATTTAAAAGATTTTTTCCAGGTTCTCTTCTTTCTGACTTTATTTGGAATAATCAGGGGAGGGGCTGCAAAGTCTTAGAATCAGTTGCGTGTCTTGCTTGACAATGATTCGATTAATCTGCCATTTAAGCCTATTATCAGTGAGTTTGCGACGAAAACCTTAATAATCGATTCTTAACCATGATTTCAAAAGGGGGAAAATAGATAGCCGACGATTTACGCCAAGGTTACCGGATATCGCGATTGAAAGTGGATATTTTACATGGGTTTAAATGCGGAGAGAGTTTAGATTTTTCAGCCCCATTTGGCAACAGCGGTTCACGCTCTGCCAGGAATTGTACATGCAATTCCACTAATCGCAAGGCAAAAAGTTTGAAGTTCAACACTGTGGGTGTACATTGACATTAAACAAACGGATTGATGCAAAACCTTGTCTTGGACCCATTTTTGGCTACAGTTCTAAATATATGGAGCACCTCGTCAGAGAGTTATATTTTCATAGCTGGAATTGCGAGTATTCTGCTCAGATTTTCTGAACTGAATGTAATTTGTCTTTGAACCGAAAAAAGGCTTGAAAAATAGAACAATTGTAGAGACAACTTTCTTGTTCTCTTACTACTGTCGTGACCCGCAGTTCTAAATGGCCCTCGGGCAGTAGGCAGGGGCCAATCAAAAGAGAAACAGGAATTATAACGAGCGGCTAAACAATGAAACAGGCCCTCATTATTCCCGAAAACAAACGTCCAAAGTTCAGGCCAGCCCCGAGGTGAAACATAAATTCTACGAGAATGAATGATATAACGCGTGAATGAGGATGCGTGGAAGTTTTTACGCGTTAATTAAGCGTCTGCATCTATCGCAAGGTTTCACTCTTTTCATTCTGATAACTCTGTTCCGGCCCAAGTAAACGAACAAATAAACTGTTAAAATTAATTATTTTACTGATTTTTCCATCCGCCAACTGCAGGGTACCTGTTCCTGTTCGCGAATGTATTGAGTTATAACTTATTTTTAAGAATGCCGTAGTAAACATGCGAAAAGGGGTCTTAATGTTGAGAAAGTCAAAAGCAACACTGGAAAAAAAAAACACATTGGATCTAGAGCCCAGACTCTTGAAAACATTGACAAGGAAAAATACATGGATTCAATCGGATTTTTGCTTGAATCATGGCGAAACAAAAATAAAAAGATAATACTCACTTTTTCTTTTTCGCCCGATTTTGAGATTTCGGTTGTCAAACCTGAAACTAACACTATGGCCATTTTGGCATTTACAGCCATCATCAGGTGCTTAAAAACGAAAAACGAATTAAATCATAACGAAACTGAAGTTAAAACATTATTATCACCGGCGACACGTCGCGAAACAAAACCGAAATCTCAAAATCGGGAAAAAGAAAAAGTGAGTATTATCTGATACAACCCGATAAAGGAGAAAAAACACATAAAGATAAAAAGCATAAAAATGAGTTACACCACACTGAAAAAACTAG